TCCTGGTGACTAAACCCCCATTTATCCCTGGGGATCCACAGCGTCGGCGTGCGCGCCCAAATACACGGCTCGAAGTACGCGTTCCGCTCCTCCTCCTCGGAGTACCTAATCTCGACATTCTCGCGGCGCACTTTCCGCCGTAGCGCCGCGTAGTCCCTGTACAGGTTCGGGTGGAACCATTTCCAGGCTGCCTCCCAGCGGTTGCGGGGATGGTGCAGGAGGGCCTGCGTCTCGTCTTCTTTCGACTGCTGCTCTTCCTCTTCTGTGTCGAGGGTGCGGGGGAGGAAGGTGTAGAGCGGGGCTAGGGCCTCGTTGAGGGACATGTGTGCTAGAACGGTGAGGACGGTAAAGAGGGCCATGATGATTAGGGGGCCGATGGCGGCGCGGATGGCGAAGAGGCCGATCATGCAGATGTTGGCGAGGTAGATGCCTGTTAGGAGATGCTGGAGGGCACGCGGGTAGACGAGCCCCTTTGTGTCTATTTCGATGTCGTAGACGAAGAGGAAGTTGTAGCGGTAGGCTTGGTAGACAAGGTAGAGGCCTATGAAGGCGAAGCCGAGGATGATGGGGGCGATGCAGGAGTATGTTAGGGCTGAAGGAAGGGGTGGTTAGTGGTGAGTTGAAGGGTTGCATGCGCGGTAAAAGAATTAGAAACGTACCGATGACACCCATGTTGGTGAAGACGGGGAACACGTTCCCCCAGCCGATTCCGCTGAGGGATGCCCAGCGTTGGTATAGGAGGCGTGGGGAGCGGTCGAAGAAGGTACTCATGAATTTGAATACAATGACGCCGGCGACCTGCACCACTGCCATCGAGCTCATTGTTAGACCCTGGAGCAGGAAGTATGATATGTAGAAGTTGGTGGCTTTTGGTAGGTTCTGGGCGAGAAGATCTTTTGTCGACAGAGGGTCCTTGATGATTTGGGCTGTTGCGGCGGATGCTGCCGATGTCAGGGTTGTCACAAGGAAGACTTGAACGACCTGAAAGCAAAAGTGCGCGCTCTGTGTGAAGAGCTCTATGTGGGCTGTCGATGGGGCACCTGCTCGTCTGGCGAGGACTAGATAGAAAGTTGTTAGCACTGTTCTTTTTCCTGTTGGACTTTAGTCTTGAGGAACATACAACGACAGATGATCGGAACCAATGACATGAGAAGGACTAGAGCTGCGGACGGTAGCAGTCCTGCAATCACTCCTTTCAGTGATGAAGGTAGCTTGTCAATGAAGCCCAGGAAAGGTAGGAGGCTAGTGAGGTAGGTAATGTTCGAGATCGCCCCAACAGCAGCGGAGGGGATGGACCAGAAGATAACCAAGGCAGCAATTCCACCCTGGACCGCGAACTTGCGCACAATGCGCTGCCACCAGCTGAGATTCAAAGTAGACCAGACGACCTCTTTAGGAGAGATACCAACGAAACGAGGCGTCATATGGAGCGGTTGGTGATGAGAGAGCGTCTGTAGAGCGATCTGCGCATCGGACTGGGTGTTGAACTCGATGAACAGAGCAGAAAGATTCTTCATCTTCCCATTTTTGTGCTGTTCCTGAAGGTACTCTACCTCTCTTGATACCTTCACGAGCTCGTCGCGTAACCAAGAGATGGAGTCAACTTTGGGTCCAAACAACTTCACACGGTGACTCGGTCTGCGAATCTTCTTACGCCAGCTATGCGTCCCGCTTTCGCAGTCCAAACACGTGTCAGAAGTGATCACTCCATTTTTGAATGCCTTGAGACGGCCCGAGTTTGCTGCTCGAATCAAGTTGGTCTCCGCTTTCTCCAACCGATAAGCTAAACTGTCTCGTTTGCGGACTTTCTTCATGAGCTCCTTGCAGTCGGATGTGATCCAGATCCTTCGAATAGAATCGCCAAAGACTTGCCGCAACTTCTGTTCGCTTTTGTAATCTTCTGGCACGGACATGAACAGCACCGTTCGCGATGATATACGACGAACATAGGCAGGGGAATTGAGATACGCCTGTCGCAAATTCGCATAAAAAAGACTCTCCCGAGTGACCACGCAGAAGACATAGGCTGCAGTGTCACAGATTAGTGATTCTGTTTGGAAGAGCCCCCAGAAGTACTTACTGAACAAGATGCATGCCATGATAGCATGTGCATAGTACCGGGTCGGGTCTTTTACATTGCTAAAGCTGAGTGCGTCTAGCTGAGTGTTTCCTGCACCGCCGGTGGCGTGAATCGGGATCAGGACAGGCCATGTGACGAGGCAACCAGTAAAACAAGTAGAACAAAGCACCCTGAGGAATCGCAGAAAGAGGTATCCGTCCATGGAGGAGGAATGTAGAACATGCGCATCAGATATCTTGAGAAACTGCCCAAACCAGTTGATAAAGCCTCTGGGCAATTGGGGGCTTCGTTCACTGCAATTGCCTCAGTAAGTGGCGCAAACAACGATGCTGTAGGAGAAATACATACTGTTGGTGCCAGCATGGCAAGTGAGATCTTGGAGCATACCAACGCAGTTGCGTACGTCGACATATCAAGAACAGACCGAACCAAAAAACCGCGATGACCAACGCGGGTAGAAGTGTGGTTAGGAGTGCTAAAAGTGAGGTTGAGTCATTGACACCGAGGTTTTTGATTGCATCGGAGGTCTTTGACGACGCATTGCCTCGAGCAGAACCGATATTAGGGTCATTGTTTGGATCCTACATTCTGAGGGTCAACACAGTGCCTTATGAGGCTCCATATTGGTGTATACATACGAGGAGCTCTTGTCGTTTTACCAGGGGACCAACCCATACTGGGACGGCCATGGTAGGCATCATGATGATACGTGGTCCTGCGACATGACCGTTATGCGAACCAATATCCGGGTGCCTCAATGGTTATACGGAGATAGTCTAGAATCAGAATCTAATGGCACAAGGATGCAATGGCCTACATATATCTCGTGTGCGACCCGCCACTAGCACAAGCGGACGGTATGGCGCGTTGGACTTGTCATTCCCGTCATTCTGCATGGATGGTACAGGCTTACAGCACGCAAGGCCAGTTGCCAATAGTGTTCCGAAAGTAAACCTTCGTGTGACAGAAATGCCAATGGTGGGCCATGCAAAGCCCAGGTGGTCGGGGATGCGTTATTTGGAATGTTTCCTCCGTAGCTCCAGAGCTTCTCGCAGTTTAGAAAGTACTGATGATCCGTCGATCAATGCTCATAAAGTGCGAGGAGAAATATGGTTAGCTCGCTACAGTACAATGAACCATTCGCGATGTTGTCATTTCTTCATGTCGATCCAATATGTGTATTCGCTCACAAGGCAGTTCATGTTCCCGTCGTGTGTTGATCGGTGGAGAGGATGCATGGACGCCCTCCGATTAGTAGGTGGTAGCTTAGTAGTAGCAGGCATTAGTGGTCCCTGAAAGATCAGTGGTTTCGCATTCAATTGGGCAATGAAGTCGCAGATCAATCTGCCAATTCCTCAGACATCGGAGAATGTTCGCGGTCCCTTGAATCATGATACTCTTGAGATTTTGATCTCTTTGTTTGAAGAAATAGCTGATTTTCTGAAGGATTCCCCTGCTGGTTTTTGAGCCAGATCACTCTTTAGTACTGTAGTATATTACCTGAGGGCAGGAGCTCAATAGTCCCATGTTGATCAAACGGAAATTTCTGACCAAGCACTCAGACAATCCTCGCAGGGAAGGTGAGTTCGAGATTCTTATCCCGCGTCACGAACTAGGGCGTGATCGATGGCGGGACCCAAGGCCAAATGCAAGACTATTGATTGACGGTCGCATTCGTAATTGATTCTCGACTAGACGGGGTTTCGAGGTGATAAGGCTCTCCAGCTGCATACCGCAAGATGAACAAGCATGCGATAGATAATGCATCCTCAAACAAAATGAAAAGCAGTACCTACTCTCGGTCTCCCACAGTAGAAACATTCCCTGATTAGTCGACAGTCGCTGATATCGACAGATCAACCAAGCAAGGGGTGAGTGCTTGTCCAAGTATGACGCTCAAATCTCGAACGGATGACCTGTTCTCATTCCAATCCATACTCGACCTCTCGGAGCCGAAGATTGATTTCCTCTCTTGTCCTAAAGCGAAAGAAGAGTGGACCTCAGAAGTGATGTAAAGAAACCTAGCTTCATGGTACACGGTCCGCACCTCGTCCTGCGACTTAAGACGCATAGTGCGTCTAAGAAGTTTTCCTGGTGTCTGGCGACGATATAGTTGATGTATCAACTATCTTTATCCTAAGTGACGACAGAAGAGCACAAAGCCAACACATCCATTTTTCTCACGAGCGGATGATTGGCTATTTGGCAAAAGGTGAAGTGAAGTGGCTTTGGGATCGCCTTGTGTGGAAGCGGAAATTGTAGATCTGATCTGAGCGTCAACCACGAAACCAGGAAACCGAAAATGGAGCCCAAGACAGAAGGAGTCTCCTGAATTTTCTAGGCGTATGCCGTGGGGATTTTTGCAGAATTGTGGATGACTTTGGACAAACCATGACAAAGCTAAAGAGAGGGACAGGCTGAGCCCAAAGGCTCACGAGCTATCCAGATACCTCTGGCATCTTCATGGATACTCTGGGGAGCCAACATAGTAGTCAAGATATAGATATAGACTGGTTCATCGCATGATGTATGTTCAAAAAGCCAGACACGGTGAGCATTGAAGAGTGTACGTTCCTATCACAATGTTATTGTAAGTGTACTCTGTCTCTACGCGAATATATGTAGTTCCGCAGGTAGCAAGGTATTTTCTATCAAAGTCTGCTGGCATCCTTAAGTCGTTCACTGGAGGATATGTCTTTTGTGAGTTCGGAACCCATCTTACGAGCGAGATATCTAGTCTCAATCATAGTGTTTGAACGACTTGGATTATTATTTCTCTACGCAGTACAAAATGAACATATCACCAACTGTGTGGAGATTGAGCGGTAAGAAGCGGCAGTATAGTGATAAGCTAGGAGAGTGTCAATTTACTTCAATATTACCACAGCTTAGTTCGCGCAAGACAAATCGATGATTAAGCATGTCACCTCCCGAGATCGGCGACGAAAAGCAGTCCCGGTCCATTGATGACAGTCGTGGTTTCGCAGGCATCGTATCATCAAGAGAGTCAAAGCAACCATTCCCGCCTCTCCCTGCGGATGGATTTGCTTCAGCAATGCACGATGTGCCGAACAACAGCTACCCAGGGCTGGACGACTCAGACATGCTTTCGCCTACAACCGACGATCTTGCTGGGGAGGAGGAGGATCCGGACTTTTACTCCAGCTATTCTTTAGACAATCAGTCATTCTCAGACGCGTCAATGGAATCCGATGAAGAAGCTGCCGAAGATGGCATCGCCATGCATCACCCGTTTCGCCAGTCTTCGAGTTCCCTGCACGGGCCTAATGCTTTCGCTCCTCCGTTCTATAACAGACCTCCGACCCCCCTACCGCCGTCACCATCGTTGACATCGCTTCTTCGTCCCCCTTTCTCGACTACTACCTCCCGACCGACTACCCCTGATAGCTCCGACGTGGAAACGCCGAATGATACTGAGGCGGCTGTCGCGAAATCTGCCCGTCGTGCAACCACGGTCCCTCGTGCCAGCCCGAAAGTACCGACATATGAGTATTACGGCTTTGTCTTATACCTGGCTTCATCGCTGGCCTTCTGTGAGTCGAACCCAATGCGCTGCAGGAAGTGATCGCCATTCTAACACGTTAATCAACAGTAATCTATGTACTCTGGTCCTACCTACCGTCCCCATTCCTGCATCAACTCGGTATCTACTACTACCCAAATCGGTGGTGGTCGCTCGCTATTCCCGCATGGCTGGTCATGCTGATCATCTACATCTATGTCGCTCTGGCATCTTACAACACGGGCTATCTGACCCTACCGATGAATAGTATCGAGAATATCGTGGATGATGTCGCCAATGTAGCTGTCATTGACGGCAAAGGGCGACGACGACCAGGCGGTGCTGCCAAGATGAAACCTGGCGCAACATCGTATCAGATAATGGGACCGCAGAATCGCAAGGTCAACTGGAAAGAGATCTGGTCCGAGGGCACTGATGCCGTTATGGACGTGCCTGTGGGAGGAGTCTGCGAGGTATTGTATGGACAGGAAAGAGACGATGGGGAATTGAGTGACGGTCACGCTGGGTTTGCAACTGGCACAGCAGAGACGTAGCCGGGGTTCGATTGTGTTTGCAGACTGTACCCTGTCAACCTGGTGCTCGTTGCTTATCTGTCCATGAACAACCCATGATAGCTGCGGCTTTGATCTCCTGAGCCAATCACAAGGCGCCAGCCGCAAAATCGCATCCCTTATCATCACGTGATGTGGCGCTAGGCTTCCTTCCGACTCGTATCAGCAGTCGAGTCAACACTTGACGGTTGATAACCTGGGGACATCTGCGGTTGCGTTACTTCCTTTTCGATACAGTCACTAATCAACCACCATGGAAGCCGAAAGACATTCGACGCCGCCACCAAAATCGGGCGCTGACAAGCCCGGTGAGCTCCAAAGGGGTCCGCTCACCCCGAACAATTGCGGAGAATAGTAGGTGAATCGCTAATGAGCCATGCTCTGCATTGTTGAACTAACGATCCGTTTACAGGAGATCAATCGTATGAAAGCCAAGGCGATCCGTGAACAACGAGAGGCCGAGGAAGCCAAAAAGCGAGCTGCAACACCCAGCAGTTTAAGTAGCGCCAGCGGGGTAAAACGAACATATTCTTCTATGACAGCGTCGGACACACCAGCGACATTACGCGATGCGTCGGCGAACCGTCCCCTCGATGCGATCAAGCCAGCCCGCAATTTCACCAAGTATGTGGAGTATGACTTCAGCAAGATGACCGATACGAAAGGAGGTTTCTTAACTCAAGAGGATGATCCATACAACAAGGCGTTGAATGTCCGAGATGGGAAGGAGGATCAGAAGCCTGCGCATATGACGCAGAAAGAATGGGAACGACAGCAGCTGCTCGACTCCCTTCGCCGCGAGCGAGCAGGGCCGTTTGAACCCGGACTGAGTGTACTAGAGGATAAAAGCAAGCAAAAAAAGTGCCGGGAATGTGGGAGTGTTGAGATTGACTGGAAGTGGGAGGAGCTACTTCGATGTTGTGTATGCCATGCTTGCAAGGAGAAGTACCCGGAGAAGTACAGTCTTCTGACGAAGACGGAAGCGAAGGAAGATTATCTGTTGACCGATCGTGAGTCTATCCTCGAAACGCGTTTTCTATCAAAGATGGATCACTGACACCGCGCTTCTCGCAGCCGAACTCCGCGACGAAGAGCTTTTACCACACCTGGAGCGACCAAATCCTCATAAGTCGACTTGGAATAACATGATGCTCTATCTACGATACCAAGTTGAGGAATACGCATTCTCTCCAAAGAAATGGGGTTCTCCAGAAGCGTTGGATGCCGAATTTGAACGACGAGAGAATGAGAAGAAGAGGCGGCGGGAGGCGAAATTCAAGACCAAGTTGCAAGATCTCAAGAAGCGCACCAGAGTTGAAGCATACCGACGGAATCGTCAAGGTGCAGCCGGAGGGAATTTCGGCGACGATCTGGGGAAAGGTGGTCGACATGTACATCAATGGGGCCGATCTGTGGAGGATCCTGAGACGGGTATAGGGGTCAAGAAATGTGTTGACTGTGGCATGGAGATCGAGGAACTAGAATTCTAACGCTCCATCAGATAGCATCCATCACGATATTAATGATTTACAACGAAGTCAAAATGACGGATGGAGCCTTTGCAAGGTCCGCGGTTCTTCTCACTGTAATGTCAGTTTTCCGAGTTCAACAGCCACAACGTAGTCGATCTGCTGCCACGTTTGTCGCAACATCTCTAACTGCATAGCCAAAAGAACAACACCGCAGCGAATAATGGACCACCATGACAGGTAAGTCCATTGAATGTCAGTCTATATAGTCAATGTTAGACGAGGTTTGGGAGCCAAACAACCCCAGCGCTAAAGGCGGTTAGACGGCCGAGTTGTGCGTCTACGGGAGCCAACAAAAGACCAGCAGCGGCGGTGCGGTGACTTTCCCCGACCTCTGCGAGGAGAACCTAACGCGCGCCAGCTGCCCGTCCAGCTTCGACACCATACAGTGACCATCCTCCTTTTCTCCTTTCGGTGATCCATACCCTTCCGTTGACGGAGTCATAATAATTATTGCTCTCCACCCGGTGCTGGCGCGGCCTGGAACGTGGTTTCCTGCCGTTGTCACCCGTTGAGACTGGGGGTTGCTTACATCAACAAACTTGCAGCATTGCGGCCACGAAAGCTCTCCACATTCGGCGTCATTTCTTGTCACAACTGAGGACGCAGAAGCTTAAACAGCTCTGTCGCTTGTCCTGAATCTACTTAAATTCTGTCGCTTGTTGATTTCGCATGGCTTGGCAGTCTCCCTCGGCCATGGCTGGGGGTGGAGGGTACATTGGGCCTGGGGGTGATGGGTCGTCGAATGGCGGACAACCTCATGGGACGGAGTATACATTGCAAGGTGGGTGCATGGAGGCTCTGCCTTGGTATTGGTGTTTCTCGAAGCTAACTATTCTCCCCTCTGCGATAGGTGTGATGCGCTTTCTGCAGACCGAATGGCATCGGCACGAGCGAGATCGCAATGCCTGGGAGATAGAGCGCGCGGAGATGCGGTCCCGGATCGGCAGGTTAGAAGGTGATGTACGAACGAGCAAGCGGCTGCACGAGTCATTGGGCAAGCATGTGAGGCTGCTTGAGGCTGCTCTGAAGAAAGAGCGTGAGAAGGTGAAGAAGCTGAGCAATAATGAACCGATCGAGGATACGAGGGACTCCAAGGAGATTGCCCGGGAGAGCATCAACGCATTGAAGTGTACGATACTGACTCGCAAAATCTAACGGTGTTGGTGGATTGCTGACTTGTCTGCAGCGCAACGGTCCAAATCCCAGGCCGATCTCACCACCGATATTGACACCGACAACCAACCTGGCGTCCGACAGGAGAACGAACGGGAGAAGTCGCGTCTGTACCTGTCAAAGTGTTCGCAAGAGGTTGCATTTCACGTTATCCCTACGTCGCATCCTGCTCCCGATGTAAACGACCTGGAACTCTCGAACCACATGTACGCGAACCACAACATGCCTCAGCAGAGTATAGAGGAAGCCTACATTCAGCAGCAGCGCCAAAAGCAGCAGCAGCAACAGCAGGCAAATCACATGATGGCGCGCGAGGTAGCACTACAAAATCACCAGCCCATTGTGACTCATTATTCGGACAATTCCAACTTGTCTCGCGCTCCCAATCAATACCTTCCCCCTGTGGCACGAGATATTATGGACAAAAGACCGCTGGAGGCACAGCAGACCCCGCTACTGCTATTGACAGCAGAAAGCAGGCGTTTGAGTCAGGCCTATCGGATGAGCGCGCTGGTCCTGTAAAGCAACAGTACGATAACACGCAGGCAGTGGCTAAGGAGGAGGCTCAATCCCAGCAGGCGGAAGATCAATTACAAGATACAGACGGGTGGAATTTTGATGAAACCCCTGCTCAGGAGCCCCGGACTGCCCACCTCCCACCTCACCGCCCAGACGTGGATGCCTTTCCCAACGCGAACTTCGCCGGGTCAAAGTCCCCCTCGCGGGGTGGATCAGTATCGCATCGAAGGAAGAGCTCTGGCTCCAAGCGTAAGAGCGAAGGTGCCATAGACGTCGGCGCGGGAGCGATGCAGAAACAGGATCCTATTTTCAAAGTTCGATTCGCTCTCCGCGGCCACCTGGATGTTATCCGCTCAGTGATCTTCACGGGCGGTGGTAGCCCCTCCGAACCCGAGATTTGCACGTGCAGTGATGATGGGACGATCAAAAGATGGATCATACCAGCATCGTACGGAGCCTATGGGTCACACGGAGGGAACTCCGGCAACGATCTGGATATAACGAGTTACTTCACCCATCGGGGTCATGTTGGAGCAGTAACTGCACTGGCTGCTTGTTCCCCGTCCCAAAATTTTTCAAATGGTGGCCGTGCCCTTGGTGATGGATGGGTATTCTCTGGTGGGCAGGATGCCAGCGTACGTGTTTGGGAACGTGGACGGGTTGATCCCAAGGCCACACTTGATGGTCACACCGATGCTGTTTGGGGCCTTTGCGTTCTTCCTGGCACGGCTGGTACTGTGTTTGGGGATTCATCCAGTCACTACGGAGGTCCAGATCGGATCTTGCTGGCGTCGGGCGCTGCCGATGGGCGGATATTGATCTGGGCTGTCAGTGCACCTCCCCAGCTATCATCACCACAAGCCGGTTCTAGGCGAGCTGGTGGAAGTCGGCGCGCCAACTCGATATCATCTGGGTCTAATTTCCCATCTTCGCCTCAACCTAGCACCGCTACCACCACACCTTTCCACTATACTCTCGTCCATCATATACTTCGGGCCGACTCTCCCTCGCCGACTTGTATCAGCCCTCTGTCTCTTGCAGGTGTCAATTTCGTCGTGTCATACACGGATGCTTCGATCCTTGTATATGACACGAGAACCGGCGAGGAGATTGTGGGCATGGCGAGCTTGGAAACCTACGATGGCACTCCCTCGACGGGAGTCAACTCTGTCGTTGCAACCACTATTGGCTTTGATGGGTCTGCAGGCCTCGATCCTAGTCGGACGTTGGTTGATGAAGAAGTTGTGCACGGAGCTACCGGCTCCAGTGCCGTGGAAGGGGTTATCATAAGTGGTTACGAAGACAGATATATCCGTCTCTTCGACGCCAATAGCGGTAGGTACTCTGCTATTCCCGACTGTTTGAATGGAAGCACTGACATTTTCTTGCCCTGTTGTAGGCCAATGCACATACACGATGCTGGCCCATCCCGCGGCTATTGCTGCACTTTCCTTATCTCCTGATGGACGTGAACTAGTGTCCGCGGGGCATGACGCCAGCTTACGGTTCTGGAACCTTGAGAAACGTAGCTGCACCCAAGAGATTACAAGCCACCGGTTGATGCGTGGTGAGGGGGTATGTGCCGTCACCTGGAGCCGCGACGGCCGCTGGGTCGTCAGTGGTGGAGGAGACGGGGTTGTCAAGGTCTTCTCAAGATAACGACGGATTCTGCTTGTCTATGCACGAAGTCTGATGTTGTCCGCCGACATTTCGTTAGGCTAACTCTTCCTGAATGAGCGCTTGGTCAGTTCTTGAGCATTTGCAACGGTGGCAAATTACCTGGCATTTGTTCCTTTCTAGTGTTGTGGTTATAGCTCCCTTGGCATTTTCATTCTTCCGCCATCCTTCTTGCATGCACGAGCTTTTCTTTCAAAATGACCATTTTTGCTCCGCCTTCAGGTTGCGGCTGTTCGCCTTTTCTTCTGCACATGGAATGCTTTTGATGATTTGTTATTGATGGTGTTAAATTAACACGACACTCAAGCCCGATAGCTTGCAGCTGGGCTTCGATTCCTTCTCGCCTCCATTTTCTCCCTACATGATGTGTGGCCGCTTGGCCTCGAGATACCGTGTGAGATGGGAATCCTATCCTGTACCCATCTCGCAATTTCAAATGCTCCCGTCTCCTGAAAGGCATGCTCAAGTGTGCCTTTCGTTTGGCTTCTATGCGTATAAGTTTATGTATAACAATTAGTTCCTATACCACTGCCCCAGCTTCTGTACCTTGAACTTGGTATCAAATTCTAGCACATTGAATAGACTTGATTTCTGTATTGACCTTGTGCTCCATGCAGCGTGTGGACTACAAGGCAACGTTCGTAATATACTTCAACGAAAGCACTGTCACGCATATAATCTCAGTCCGGAGCCAGTCGCACTCCGGAGAACCACAGAACAGATCAGGGAAAGGTATCATTAAAAAGCTATCTACAACACCGAAATTCTAGAGACTCGACCTCCAGGCTTCCTTGAAAAGCACCCTCAGCTTATTCGCCTCATCGTAGTCCTTCAACCTCTGCTCCAAGAAGCCCTGCAAATCACCCCAGAAAGCCTCCGTCGCCACAACACTCTCCCCACTAGGCCCAACAGCAGGCTTGGGAGGCTCATAACTTTCCCTCTGCTCAGCACCGGCCCCTTCACCGGCGCCCGCACTCGGAGCAACCTGCGCCCCGCCCATGATCATAACGCCGAACTCGACCTCCTTCCCGCCAGATAGCATCTCCGGCTCATCGGCAAGTATCTCCGCGATGGTCTTCCCCGTTACGGGTTTGCGCTTGTACAGGATCTTGATCTTGTCGAGGGAGACCTTGTTGCCCTGGGCGTCTGTCACGCGATCGCGGACGGCGTCCTTGAGATCCTGCACGGAGGTTGTGGCGAGGGCGGTGTTGGGGAGAGAGAATTCGAGAATCGGGTTGCGGGCTGATTTGAGGTGCACGGTTATGGATTTCGAGGAGCCCGGGGCGAGCGGCCGTTTGGTCTTCTTGGGCATTTCGGGGTGGGGTACGTGTAGGCGGGGAGGGTATACTGTGCCTGTTAGTAGATGGCTCTAGTATATGGCTGAGATATATGGGAAGGAAGACGTACTGGGACACGCAGTCCGACTTGCTCTGGGTCGAAGACATGGTCGGAGCGGAGCTTGATGGGTCGAGAGTCGAGTGCTGAGAGGAAAGTCTTGACGAATGATACTTCGTTCATGGTGATGGTGATAGTGCTGGTGGTCCTAGAGTGATTGGAATTGAGTGCGTGTTGTTTCCTTGGTGGGGATTAAAGGAGGAAGATGAGAGGGCTGTCGTCACAGTCAATCGATCAATTGTGCTCATTACCCAATCGGGAGCTCATGAGGCCCCCGCGGTCGGAGATGTATGCCTCAGGCCAATAAGCAGACTAGACCGCCTTCCGGAAAGGATCTGCCAGTGTTGACCGCCTGAAAAAAGAAGATGCAAAAGAAAAAAAAGTTTGGCTTTTCAATATAGTTGACATATTAGCAAAACCACAATTTCTGCCCTCCACCACAAAATTTGTCGCAATGGGAAAGGGTCGCCGTATGCAGAAGCAGGGCCCTCCGGCCCCGCTGGACGAGTCGAAAATTACCCTGTACAAGAAGCGCAAGGCGGGAGATGTCGAATCAAAGGCAGAGTCGGGCAAGAAGCGGAGAAGAGCCGAAGAGGAAGAAGAGGTTCTGAAGGCTGTGCCTAAGAAGAAGGTTAATGGTGCGGTTAAAGGAAAGCAAAACAAGGCCGAGACTGCCGCTGTCAGCAAGAAGGATGCGAAGAGCAAGAGCAAACCTGCGGAGAAGGAGAAGCCTACATTTATGGACTCGGACGATGAAGACATGTCGGATCTCGATGACGATGAGATTGAGATGGGTGAGGATGAATTTGATGACTTGGATGGCGTCAGTGACGGATCTATGGATAGTCAGCAGGAGATGGATTCTGATGAGGAGGAGGAAGAAGACGAAGACTCGGTCATGGATTCGGAGGAAGAGGACCACCCGCGGGAGGCCATGTTTTCGGACGACGAGGATCTGTCTGACGCGGAGGAGAAGCTCACAGCCGCCAACATCGAGGGACTGTCCCGGAAATTGGATGAGGCCAGACAAGCGGAAGAGGAGGAGGCGCAGCGCGAGTTACAGGAGTCTGCTATGCAGACCAACATCGCAGGCGACCGCCCGGATGTCTTTGGTGATGCCGAGGGCAAGCCTGGTCTGGCCCCTGACCTCCAATTGCTCCGAACGAGAATCACAGACACCATTCGAATCCTGGGCGACCTGAAGACCCTTGGACAACCGGGCAAATCCCGCGCCGATTACCTGCAACTGCTCCTGGACGACATCTGCACGTATTACGGCTACACCCCATTCCTCGCGGAGAAGCTGTTCAACCTTTTCACTCCTATGGAGGCGTTCGCCTTCTTTGAAGCCAACGAAACTCCTCGTCCAGTCGTCATCCGTACAAACACCCTGCGTACCAACCGACGATCTCTGGCCCAAGCCCTCATCAACCGAGGCGTGGTGTTGGAACCAGTCGGTAAGTGGTCCAAGGTCGGTCTGCAAGTCTTCGAGTCCGCGGTGCCTCTTGGTGCCACTCCCGAGTACCTGGCGGGCCACTACATCCTGCAGGCCGCCTCATCTTTCCTCCCCGTGATGGCGCTGGCCCCACAACCCAACGAGCGGGTCCTCGATATGGCCGCCGCCCCGGTGGTAAGACGACGTACATCTCGGCCCTGATGCGCAACACCGGTTGCGTGATCGCCAACGATGCCAGCAAGCCCCGTGCCAAGGGTCTGATCGGTAACATCCACCGTCTCGGCTGCAAGAACACCATCGTGACGAACCTGGACGCCCGGACCGCCTTCCCCAAGGCCCTCGGCGGCTTCGACCGCGTCCTCCTCGACGCCCCTGCACCGGCACAGGCGTCATCTCCAAGGACCCAAGCGTCAAGACCTCCAAGAATGAGCGCGACTTCCTCGCCATCCCCCACATGCAACGCAACCTCCTCCTCGCCGCCATCGACTCGGTCGACCACGCCTCGAAAACAGGGGGCTACATCGTCTACTCCACCTGCTCCGTCACCGTCGAAGAAAACGAAGCAGTCGTGCAGTACGTCCTGCGCAAACGCCCCAACGTCAAGCTCGTCGACACCGGCCTCGGCGACTTCGGCTCCCCCGGTTTCACCAGCTACATGAGCAAGAAGTTTGACCCCAAGATGACCCTTACCCGCCGCTACTTCCCGCACCGCGAGAACGTCGACGGTTTCTTCGTCTGCAAACTCAAGAAGACCGGCCCCACCCCGACCCCAAGCCCTCCGCCGACGGCACCGCCCCGCCGCCGCAGCCGCTAAACCAGCCAAGAAGGCCGACGACGACGAAGAAGTCGTCGACAAGACACCCATCCTGAACGAGGACGGCACGACCCTCGACATCGAGGGCGGCGCCTTCGGCCCCTTTGACGACGAGGAGGACCAGGAGCGCATTGCTCGGGCGGAGCGCAACCGCCTGCGCCGGAAGGGTCTCGACCCCAGGGCTGTACTGAACAAGCCTAAGAAATCCGCGTCTGAGAAGACGGACGCCTCGAAACAGGAGGAGAGCAAGAAGGAGTCTGCCGTTGAGAACGGGGACGAGAAGGCAGCAAAGACATCTGACAAGGTCGACAAGAAGGCTGACAAGAAGGACAAGAAGGCCGACAAGAGCAAGACGGACTCCGACTCCAAGAGCAGCAAGAAGAACAAGAAGAAGGCAGCGAGCAGTAGTCCGGGCAAAAAGGCCGGCAAATAGTCGGATTGCGCGGGAATGTAGCATCTTGTCTTTTCTTTTCTTTCGTTGATCAGTCCAAAAGCATCATCTCATGTTTAGGTACGGACGGCGCATCATTGTTGATTGATTCATTGCGGTTTTGACGTAGATAGCTGTGGTAGAATATAATGATACTATTTGTGATCTGTTGATGGCGGACTTTGTTGCACGTAGAAGATTCATTACCATTTAGTTGTCTTCATTGATAAATGTGATATATTCATGTAAGAAAAGCCATAAAAGCAGATATCTGAACATTAACTCCAAAGGCCCAATTCCAAATCTTTCTCCGTAACACCCGGGGTATGCTGCAGTCTCCAATGGAAAAAGAAATATGTATGTGTATCAACTCCATCAACGCGCTCACCCTCAAAGCCCAACCTACAACCTACATCATCACGGTGCAACGTCGCAGGGCAGCCCCCTTAAGTTCTATAGATCTTGACCACACTGATGATGTTCTTCCGACAGATAGGGCAGATATCGACCTGGCGGGCACAAGCCACACAGGCACAGACGTGACCACAGTCATAGAACAGGGCGTCCTGCTCCTCACTGTAGCAGATCTGGCACAGATCCATCTCTTCGTCGGCGACTTCCCAGTAGCTGATGCCCTTGCCGTGTCGTTTGCCGTCCTTGTAGCCGCCAACATATTTGTTGCCTGTCTTCTTCTCGACGAAGGTGCCCTGGCCGTGGCACTGGTCCTCGTACCAGTCTCCATCGTAGGTATCCCCGGTGGGGTACTCCATGGCACCGCTGCCGTGGCGCTTGCCGAATACAAAGTCGCCGACGTAGGTGGCGGCCGAGTCGGAGATGTGCTTGCCTTTGCCGTGGTAGTAGCCCTTCAGGAAGTCACCGCTGTAGTACTCGCTGTTGAAGGAGGCATCGACGGTCTTCGTGCCGGTGAAGGCCCGAGTGGGGTGATTGCGTTCCGCTGCGAAGAGGTAGTGGACCAGCCGATCGGGACTGGAGAATCGGCCTGCAACGCTGAGCTCCGTGCGCCTATAGAAAGGTGCGGGTTAGAATGGGATCTTTATATCGGGTTGAGTGAAGGAACACCTACTTCTCCTTGCTTAATTTGTCACCGACAATAAAACATGTCCCATCTGGCACATAGGCATCGAATGTTCCCACGCTGGACATGGTTGTCACAGTGGTGCCGTCAACCCGCTGCCAGATCGAGAAATCCTTCATCATCGGCCACTTCAAGTGTTTCCGCAGAGCGGTCTTAATTTTCTCCTCTTTTCGGGAGAAGAAAGAGCCCACCGTACGCAATGCTTGTGCCTCGAAGTCGAAAATTTGAATGAAGTAGTAAACGTGCTCGACGGGCAGGGGGACTTCGGGCTCTTCCGAAGTGGTAGACACAGCCTCGGGAGCTGGAGAAGCAGCCCGCTGCTGTGCTGGTTCGCTTTGAGTAGCGTCATTGGAGGACTGCTCAGCCGGAGCAGGTGATTCTTGAGCCTCCTCAGCCAGCTCGATTTCCATTTGCTGGACATCCTGTGCGATGATCGCCGCTATGGCCGCATCATCTTCAGCACCCGCATTGCTGGGCTGAATCTCAGAGGAGTCGGAAGTCTCTTGACCAGAGCTCTGCGAGACCTCGGAGTCACTCGTCCGTGGCAGAGGCTGCTCCGCCGACACCCTGTCACCGTTGCTGAGATCGCTTTCGGTCACGTTACCAGATGAGCTGGCCTCAGCCCCTCCACTTCGGACTTCAGGAGTATATTGTCTGTCGTCCGTAGATTCAGAACCAGCGCGTTCGACTACCGCCTCTTCAGCCTTGCGCTGGGCGACTACAGTGTCGCGGGGATCCTTGATGGCGAAGTACTTTGCCTCGTCTATGGACTCATGCGTTAGCCGTGCCCCACAACTGTGGACCTAAAAAAGGACAGACTTACCATCAGAGACAATCTGCATCCACAACCGAGCAACTGGAACAGGTAGATCAAGGGTCGATTTCAGATCCGAGATCCGCTCGAATGCAAGTGTTGGTCCGAATCGATCACGAGTATGTCCAATCTGCCAGAGACGGATATTCTCGGGACTGGCCTCAGTCTCGCTGCCCGCAGAGGCCCAGAGAGCGATCTTCTTGCGCAACTCGACAATATTCTCGGAGCGGGGAACAGTCATATACATCACTCTGTTGGCCGCCTTGGCCTGGGACATCAAATCATAGGAGTCAAACAGACTAGGTAACTGGTCATACTGCGGCGGAGCATAGACCTCTACCTGGATTTCTTTCTCTGCGGCCTTTCCACCGGACATGGAGGAGAGAGGGTAGATGCCGGTCTCATAGTATTCCTTGAGTGACGGCGAGACGTCCCACGGACCCTGAGGGCCAGGGAGGAACTCCGAGACAATGTCGCTTCGGATATACATGACGGCGATGGCGACATCATGACCAGTCTTGAGGTCTACTTTCTGAGTCTCATCCAGGCCAAGATGTGGCCCCAAGGCTGTCTTACGTGTGAGGCATTCAACACGATTATCGCTGCCGTCATCGAATGCAAGCCATCTGGTTCCGGGCCCACCAGGGCGAAGAATGCTGAAGAATTTGCCCGACGTGCGCCGTCCGCGGTGGACAATGTAGCCATAGAGGACATAGTTTCCACATTGGCCGTCAACCAGGTAGGGAGCCAGATCCAACTCCTCATCCAGGTCAACCTTGTTGTAGACCAGGCGCCACTGACGCGCCGCCTTGTCCAATTTATGGCGGTTCAGCTCGACATGCAGAACAGGTGGCAATGCCCAACGGCCGGGTTTCTGCGTCAGGTACCAGATCAACCCTTCGCGCATCGTTTTGGCCTCTTCGGCAGGCACACAGATGCGGGAGTTGAAATCCTTTGGGATGATGTTTACCGCATCCACTCCGGAAGGGGCAAGGGAGTCGGGCGAGGGACTGTCAAAAATCTTGGCCAGCTCCTTCGGAGCATCGGTGTCCGACAGTTCAAACTCGATCGTCCGACGCAGGCGCTCCCAGAACTCACAGACATCGCCCGAGTATTCATGCAGATTGCGCAGAATGGAAGTGATAATATCGGTATCGACATATTGCAGGGACTGGCCACGAGAGCGAAGACGCCAGAGGAATTTCTGCAACGCATCGCAGAGCGGTTTGGGCTTGATATCGCAGTTTGTGAGATGGCCCAAGACCTTGGCATTCTGGATTATCTTGCACAGCGGTGCGAGATGCAGCCACGAGGCCAGCCCCGCAACCTCGGCACTGTGATTGATGACAGAATCACCCAGCGGCCGGTAGCCAGTCAAGCCTAGACTGTCCCAAGTCGGTTCAGAATCGCTCGCATGCCACCATAGAGACCGGGTGGGATCGTCAATAATGCGGATGTATGCATCGAACGCCAGCGTGTCATTGCGGAGTAGCGCCTGGCGCTGGCCCCGCTGCCGACGGTGGATCTGGTCCCACGGGCCGTGGAAATTAGTCCAGCCCCAGTCTAGGTTGTGCGGGTTGAATTGGTGGCACGACGACTGCATCCAACCCGTACGAGGCTCGTCTGGGTTGTACAGAATGACACCGATCTGTGCCGACACTCTCCAGGTGTCCTTTGGAGAATCTTGCTTGCTGGCAGCCGCAGCAGGATACTGTGACGTGAAATTCTCCAGCCAGCTTGCCGAGTCTTCGGTTCGGGCAAACTTCATGTCCACCTCAGGAGTGGCGGTGTTGAGCCCCGTATCGGCCGGTCCCCGCAACACTTTGAACTCGGCCTCTGGCAATGTCTTGTCGGGCTGAGGCAAGGTCGGGGAGCATTCGATGTAGATGCTCAGGGAACCCACGTTATTACCACGCGGGAAAAACTTGATTGTCCACCAGTAACCGCCGATGTAAGCAGGAGGGGAACGCATGATCTTGCTGCGGTTGGGCGCGTCTTTGGTCCCTCGCACGCCCTTGATCTTCCATGTCAGCCGGCCTTTTTCAACCGGCCGATACTCTGGGTCGTCGAGATCTGGGTGGAAGTTCTTCTCCCAGTAATCGTCTACGATGGTCAGCATCTCCAACTCGCTTTCGTCCTTGAATCTCAAAAATTCGCAGGAAGACCTACACTCGTATGCACTATAGTCCCCATCCGCTGTCGACTCGATTTCCTTCATCTCCGCCTCATCAGGTACCGACGTGTCCTCCTCAATTTCGGCCCAGTATGCATGTTCAAGCTCTGGTTGCGGAGGTTGGGGTGCAGGAGTTGGATCTAATGGTTCATGTGACTCTGGATGGACATTCTCTAGCGGAGTATTCGCAAGGATGTCTGTAATGTTGTTTTCGCTTGTAGGCTCCGGAAGCTCTGTGCCAGCAGTGACTGCGTCTGACGAGGGGCATCGACACTCAGTGTGACGGCAGGGGGGAGCTGCTCCACGGTAACCGCGGTATCCATTCGAGTATCCATCGTGAAAGAGGGTGAGATCTGTATGTACGCAAGAGGCTATGTTTGAGACACAAGATTGACAGAATATAGCATATAAAGATGACAAGGCACTGAAGTACTGCGTCTAGCGGGTCAGAGGCTTATATGGAGGAACGACGAATACAATGCACAGATCACTGATAAGTGGAGGAAAAAAAAATATATGAAGCAAGAGAATGAAAGACAATGAAAAACACAACGAGAAAGAAAGAATGACAGGTCAAATACAGAGTAAGAGGCCTGGGGGATAGATAGGTTGATGATTTCCCGATAAGAGACAGCAGGCGGTGCTTATCAGGGCGATCAGTGGGTTGGTTTGTTGGGGTAAGAGAAAGAGAGAAAAGGAAGGGACGTGAAGAGAAGAGAAGAGAAGAGGACAAAAGGAGGTGAAGAAGGGTAATAAAAAGGAAAAAGGATCGAAATGAGGAAAAAGAAAAAGAAAAAGAAAAAGGAAAGGCAAACCAAGAGACCGCAGCACCACAGCGCTCCGTATACGGATACCATGTCCATACCTTAGTCTACCCCGTGAAGCTGCTCCCTGTAGAAAATGAGGCGGCAATGCAGAGCGTGTTCTCCCCTCACCGCCGAATGATGGAGACAGCCCCCCGATCATTGACCATTAAGGATGCAAAAGGCGGATCAGCCTCTGACTTGGTCGTCCTTTATTGATCAATAAGGTGATGAAATTAATTACTGAAATGGATAGGAATGCGA